GTGACCTTAATAGGCGCTGTTATTGATGGGCAATTTGAACTCAAGCTACATTTGAGTTCAAGATGAGTTCAGTACACAAACAGCAGTTGAAGGTGAAAGCTGTGCAGATGGTTTGTTTAAAAATGCTGGTCATTCATTTCATAAAGGCTTATCTGCTTGTCATGTTAGATTAAACGCGATGTAGTTGTTTGCAGTGTAGATTATTAGTGTGTTTCAGATAACCCTCACAGGGAGATGCAGGGGAGTCACCATCTCACAGGGAGTCAGATTTCGATTTTTGCAATAATATTTTGCCCTCATAGAAATTGTTTGATAGTTTGCAACTAGGTTTACTGTATAGATTAAATGTTTTTGGCTTGATGTTTAGTTAGTGCCATGTGGTTGTCATCAGTGGAATATGTGAAGCCTACTTGTTTCATTTTTTTTTTCTCTTGTAACATCAGGACTGAATAACTTTTAATATTACATTTAATAACATGTAAATGCTAGCAGATATTAAGTAGCTAGATCCATGTCCATTTTATTGTCCACCATAGAAAACAATGCTTTCCATGGTCCATATCTCCTTAAAACAGAATAACCAAAAAGTTACTTGATTATCCAACCAGATAAATTGGTTCCTTCTTGCCTCTGAATTCCAGGAAATGAGTCAAGACACACATTTATAGACAAGGTCGTAATTAACTAGCAGAAATGACCACACATGTGTGACAGACCTCACATAATGATGCAGTCAGCAGAATATCTCATGAATTAAATATTACATTAATTAAAGTGGAACCCCAGAGGGAAGCAATTTGAGATCACCGTTGGAGTCATAGCCTAACAGCTACAAGCTCCTTATTATTTACTCATTATCACACACTGGTATGAAGGCACTTTTCACAGTCATACTGTTCAAATGGGTTTCTAATAGAGCATCAAGACTGTGGAATCTTCTGCCATCTTGTGGCTGAATGTGATTTGCTATGCACTTGACCATGTGGAGGCCTTTTGGGAGAACAAATGAACTGAGTCCGAACTTCTGAACTGCATTCTGTAGATATGCACGTGTGTAGAATATAAATATATTCATGACATGCTTGTCATCGTCTTATGCTCCGTGGCCTTAGAAATACTAACAAAAACCATGAAATGTACTTCTTTTTAGATAATTTCATACGGATAAAATCAAATATATAAACTATGCTGTTAATACACACTATGTTTCTTCTCACATAAAACCCATAATTAAAATTGTCTTACAGTGTCTAGAGCTATCAAAAATCAAATTAAGCATTACATTGATTTTCTTGCAAAAACTAGGGCTATCTAAAGCATTAATGTCATTAGACTGGAATTTAGGGCAACTGGGCTCGTCAAGAGTTTT